TTCTTCCCTTTCTTTCCCTTCCTTTCCCCCCCCCCCCCTTTTTTTTTATTTTTATTTTTTTAAATCGGAATTTTGATTTTTAGCCAGAACCTCCTGCTCAGCCAGTGCCAGTTTTTGAAGAGGTGACGGTTCCTCAGCGGTTCCTCAGGTGTTTTCTCTCTTCCACCTCATGGGTTTAGAGTTGAACTCCGGCCCAAAGAAGGCAAATTAACCCCCCCTACGACCCCCCCGAGGAAGGGATAGATGTGCTAGTGAAGGGAGCTGCTCTCCTCCCCCCCAACTTTATTCCATCTCTCTCTTTCTCAGCAGGGGAAATTTCCTTTCCTCATCTTCTAATTCTTCTTCAGCTTTTTTACATGGAATGCTCTTCTTCTTCTTCTTTATTTTCCTTTCCATTTTATTTTTATTTAATTTGCTTTCTTCTCATCCCTTCGACCTTTTCATGAGACTCTTCCAAACCTACGTACCTGTCCTCCTGCAGGGTAGTAACCCCTGCCCCGACTCCGCTCCCGCCACCGGGCGCCGGGAAGAGTTTAGCATAAGGGATTTCTTTCCAAGCCCAATATGACAGTTGCTACTGGAGATCCTGCAGACGAAGCTGCAGCTCTTCCTGGTCACCCACAGGACACCTACAACCCCGAGACCGACCATGAATGCTGCGAGAGGGTGGTCATTAACATTTCGGGGCTGCGCTTCGAGACGCAGCTCAAGACTTTAGCCCAGTTCCCAGAGACTTTATTAGGAGATCCTAAAAAAAGAATGAGGTATTTCGACCCGCTCCGGAATGAGTATTTTTTTGACAGGAACAGACCCAGCTTCGATGCCATTTTGTACTATTACCAGTCTGGGGGGAGGTTGAGGAGGCCGGTTAACGTGCCCTTAGATATCTTCTCGGAAGAGATTCGTTTCTATGAGCTGGGGGAAGAAGCCATGGAGATGTTTCGGGAGGATGAAGGCTACATCAAAGAAGAGGAAAGGCCGTTGCCTGAGAATGAGTTTCAGAGACAAGTCTGGTTGCTCTTCGAGTACCCCGAGAGCTCAGGCCCTGCCAGGATTATAGCTATTGTCTCCGTCATGGTGATTTTGATCTCCATCGTCAGCTTTTGCCTGGAAACTTTGCCCATTTTTCGGGATGAGAACGAAGACATGCATGGCAGCGGGCTGAGCCACCCCCCCTACTCCAACAGCAGCATGGGCTACCAGCAGTCCACCTCCTTCACAGACCCCTTCTTCATCGTGGAGACACTTTGCATCATCTGGTTCTCCTTCGAGTTCTTGGTGAGGTTTTTCGCCTGCCCCAGCAAGGCTGGGTTTTTTACCAACATCATGAACATTATAGACATTGTGGCCATCATCCCCTACTTCATCACCTTAGGGACGGAGCTGGCCGAGAAGCCAGAGGATGGTCAGCAAGGCCAGCAAGCCATGTCCTTGGCCATCCTCAGAGTCATCCGGCTGGTCAGGGTCTTCAGGATCTTCAAGCTCTCCCGACACTCCAAGGGGCTGCAGATCCTGGGCCAGACCCTCAAGGCCAGCATGCGGGAGCTGGGCCTCTTGATCTTCTTCCTCTTCATCGGCGTCATCCTCTTCTCCAGTGCCGTCTACTTCGCCGAGGCCGACGAGAGTGAGTCCCAGTTCCCCAGCATCCCTGATGCCTTCTGGTGGGCTGTGGTTTCCATGACGACTGTTGGCTACGGAGACATGGTCCCCACCACCATCGGGGGCAAAATCGTGGGTTCCCTGTGTGCCATCGCTGGGGTATTAACCATTGCCTTACCAGTGCCCGTCATAGTGTCCAACTTCAACTACTTCTACCACCGGGAGACGGAGGGAGAGGAGCAGGCTCAGTATCTGCAAGTAACCAGCTGCCCAAAGATCCCCTCTTCCCCTGACCTAAAGAAAAGCAGAAGTGCCTCTACTATTAGCAAGTCTGATTACATGGAGATTCAGGAAGGCGTAAACAATAGCAACGAGGATTTTAGGGAGGAGAACTTGAAGACAGCCAATTGCACCCTCGCTAACACAAACTATGTGAACATCACCAAGATGCTCACCGATGTCTAGTCGCTCAAACCTTGTCCCCTATTTAAGGCTGAATTGGAACATCTGCAGATCATCGAGTGGCTTCTCTGCATTGTAGCTAACACAGTATTTTCTACGGTGTATCTTTGGTTCTGCATGGGAAGCAATAGCTGTGTAAGTGACTTTTAACCTTTGATTTCCACCCTGGGAAAAGCATTTGTGCAAAAAAAATCCACCCCCCCCAAAAAAAAAGAAACTATGACAACAAAAAAAAAGCCCCACAACGTTTCGTTTCCCTCCTCCCATCCCAGGCTCGTGTGATCCCAAAGAGCCCGGGAGCGGTTGGGCAGGGGAAGAAACGGGGTGTGGGGACCCAGTCCCACGGAACTGGTTGCCAACCAGCTTCCATCAACTGGGAAGGGGCTGGGGAAAGGTCAGGCAGAGCTTCCTGAAGGGAAGCCGAGGTCGTGTGCCCGAATGGCTCCCAGGCTCGAGTTTCCGCCCCGCGAACGCCGAGCGCGTCGCCCGGGCTCGTGTTTCATAACTGCAAATGCTGCATGCTGCAAGAGTTTCAGCCACTGCAGTGTGCCAGGGTGAGGCCCAGGGGAGGGATAATTAGTCTGACAGCACATTATTTATGAAGTCTTCAATTTTTCTATCCTGGGCAGCCGGGAGGGTCGAGTAAATAAATCAAGCGCTTGGGGCTTTATTTCTTTCTTTAGGTCTTCACTTCCATCACCAATATTTCCAGGCTCACCAAAGACACCTCCACTGACACATTGAAAATGAGTTGGGGAAAAAAAAAAAAGCAGCATCTTTTGGTTTGTTGTTTGGTTTTATTTTTTTTATTTATTTGAAAAAAAAAAATCTATATATAAAACTGGAGCAACTATGCTGTGGCCTATAATATATTTATACTGCAGTGAAATTTAACCAGTAATACCAGTACAGCTGCATGGGTAGTTGTTGCATGAATCTGAATATTTAATACACACACAAATATATATTTTCTTAGTAGATGATAAAATATTCATGTTTATAGTGTTTCTAGATTCTCCGGTGGCTCGAAGGAGATTCGAGGGAGGTAAAAATTCTCTGTTAGAGTTAAAAACTGGCTGGGGAAGGCACGTGCTGACAGCAGGGTGATAGATACCAAGGTGTCCCAGCACCCAGACACAAGAGCCAGCAAGGAAAGGTGAGCTGAAAGTTAAACACCTGCACCCATGATGGGGTGAGTAATGAGTCATTAATCTTGGTGTCATGGACAGAAATCACGGAGAGGGCAGGAGGAGCAGGTGGAACAGCAGGTCCTGGCTCTCCTGAGCTGCCTGCTCAGCACTTTTCAGCCTTTTCCCCCAACAATTCCTGTGTGTGTGTATGTAGATATTTAGAGAGCGACTCCAGGGCTGAATCCTCAGCAAGTGGGAGTGCTCAGGGCACTGGGGGGTGGTCAGGGTGGTGGGACATGAGCTGGACCTGCCCCAGGCTGCCCGTGGTGTCACCAGGGCAGGGTGAATTTTGGGGCTGGAAAACTCCTTTTCAAGCTCTTAGAGCCTGAGGGCTGGTTGGTGGTTGGTGCCCTGAGGCTGCTCCCAGCCTTTGCTTTCTGGGATTTTTGGAGGGGTGAGTTGAGGTGCAGAGACCTCAGGGTTGTCTCTGCCTCTTCTCCAGCCCTGGTGTTGCCCAGGGATAGGTGGGAGTTATCGACCATGGGGGAATCTCATCTGCTTTCCCCAGTCCCATCTGGATTCCCTTGTGTTTCCCATTGCAGACAATCCCCAGGGACAGGTGCCCTGTTCCTCTTGCCAGGTCATGGGAGAGGGATTCAAACCTCTTCCAAGATCATGGTCCAAGCAATACCCCACCCCTGAGCTCCAGGATGGGGTTCTTAGCAGCCTGTTGAGTTGGGGTGAATTTGAGGTGAACTGGGACATGCTCAGGGCTCTACTGGTGGGCAGGAGGGGGGAACCCCACTGCAGAGCATGCAAGGAAGGTCCATCAGAGCCTGCCTGAGCTTGGAGGAAAACCACACAAAGAACAATAAACCCAAAGGTGCTAATGTATCCTACAGCAATGGCTCCAGATCCTTGGGGGCCAGATCCAGCTCTGGTGCTGAGGTGGCTCCACTCAACCAGGTGGAATTTTTTACTTGATTGATTGATTGATTGATGGATGGATTGATCCAGGCTTGGTCACAATGAATACCAAGTGTTGAGGGTTAGTTCACCAGAGTCTTGACTTCTTGCTTGGTGCAGAGAACCAGCAGCATCAATGCCTTTGGTCACAAAGGTGCTCAGCACCACACAAGATGGGACCCAGGCCTGTCTTTAATTATATCTCGTTCTATTAGGAGCCCTCTCCTCCCTTTCTGCTGCTGCAGCTCTGAAATGGGAGCTCCTGAAGCCCTTTAACATCTCAAACACTTATCAACAGAAGGAACACAATGAAAAGCAATAAATTTCTGCTGCTGAAGCTCATCCTGTGGGATGGGATGGGGCTGATGGGAGCCCCTGGCTCAGGCACAATTCCCAGGCCCACCAATGAACTTCTATTGATCCAGCTCATGGTGGGTCCATGGGGATGGGGTTTTGCACAGGGAAGCTGCCTGCTCACCCATGGGTGCCCCCAGCACTGGGTGATCCCACCCCTGGTGTGTGGGGAAGCACCAGGAGGCTGAGGGCAGGTTCCTGCAGGGCTTTTGGGAAGATGTTGGTGCTCTGGGAAGCTTTTTGCAAAGTGTTGGGTGGTTTTAATGCCCATGGGCTCCAGGCCATTTTTGGGGGGGCATCTGCCCAAAGTACTGGTTGCCTCTGGGGACCGTGAGAGATGTGGTGGTTTGGTGAGGAGGAAGAGGATGGTTTTTGGGGGGTGTTGTTCTGGGCACCGTGTCCCCGTGGGCTTTCTGAAGCTGGGCAGGAGGGGAGAGCAGGTCCATGAGCAGGATCAGGCACATCCAAAGCCATGTGCCAAGCTGGGGGGGGGGTCCTGGCAGCCTCAGGAAGCCCCAGAACCTCATGGCAGGGCCAAATGGGGCCAAAGAGCGAGAGGCCACAGAGTTCCTCCTGCTGTCACTGATGTGAGGTGACATCTGTCCCCATGGCAGGGGCCAGCACGGCCAGTCCCTTCCTTAGGGCAGATCCTGCACCTCCTGCCCTGACCCAGGCAGATGTTCCTGGGGAAACAGGAGCATTTCTGCTGCCCTTGGCATGGTGGGAAGCAGGGAATGCACCTTGATAAGTGCTCAGATGTTTGGTCCAGGGTCCCCGGGGGCTGTGGGTGGCAGTGACCCCTCAGGTTGCAGGGAGCAGAAGGGTTCAGGTTTCTCTCCCATTCAGGGCCATGGTTCCCCAGCAGCTTTTAATGGTATTTGTGCCTGCAGGTCGGAGCTCTCGTGCTATTTCTAGCTTTGCTTCTGACTCACTGACGTGATCTTGAACCAGTTTTCAGGAGGAGACTGTGAGGTTCTCATTTTTTTTTCTTGTGGAGGGATGTGCTTGGTGAGACTCTGGACCTGTTCCTGTGGGGATGCTGAGCATCCCAAACTCCCCTTGACTCCAAAAGGGAGCAGAAAGGAGCTGCAGAGGGTGCTGAATGAGGGACTGGGGAAGGGAAGGGTCCCACCATCCCTGTGAGGTTGCATCAGGCCACCTAAAGTGGGTGTTCTGGCTCCTTTCCTCCTCCTGTGGAGGTGTTGGCCTCTCTCCAGGGGTGGGATGGAGGACTGTGAAGGTCCTCCTGGCTTGGCACCCAGAGGAGACAGCACCTGTGGTTTAGTTTCATCCTTTGTGCCAAGGTTTTGGGGAGATGGGAAGTGGTGATGGCACTGCAGGTTGTCTTCTAACACCCAACCACATGCCTCAGCATGCAGGCAACTCATCAGCTCCTTGCTATCTTCCAAAACCTTTGCTGAGGGTGGTGGGGTGAGGTTCTTACAACCAGCTGGGCACCAGCAGGGGCTCAGGGCTGCTAAGAAAATATCATCTGTGTAGGGGCAATGGACTTTATTGGGGAAAATAACCTCTGCAGAGATGTTCTGTGTTGAAGTCCTGCAGATCTGAACGTGGAGAAAAGGATTTCTGGGTTGGTGTTAGGAGAGTGGAGCACGTGGGTGTGTAAATATGGGCATATTTGTGCATAAATACACAGAAGGAGAGAAAAAGAGAAGGAGGGGGAGGAATTTCAGGAAGGGCCTTGCATTGTTATCTGATAATTCCTGGGTCAGCCCTTGAAACTGCTGCCAAAGTCTTGTAGCATTTCCAGAGCTTGAGTTCCATTTAAGGATGGGGCTGAGTGAGGGAGGAGATCAGGATATTGGGATCTGGCCTTGGAATTGGGAGCATCCCGAGGTGCTGGTGGCATTTGGTTCTCTGTGTCCCTCTGCAAAGCAGCAGCTTTGCAGCATCTCTGCTCTCCAGCCCCAGCCTGGCCCAGCTCTCCTTGTGGCTGTGCAGGGAAAACCAAGCAGAAGCTGAAGAGATTTGTTCCCAGTGCTGGGCAGCACCAGCTGGGCTTTTGGGTTTCTTTTCTCTTGTAAAGGTTGGATTTTCAGGCTCTTGAACCGTGTTGGCTTTTGGGCCCAAGGCAGTGGTGAAGAAACACCTCCCTGTTTTGGAGCCAGGGTGGGTTTATCCCAAGTTTTATGTCCATGGAGGGATCCCAGGGGTTTCCTGGCTCAGTGGGAGCTGGTCAGTGTGTTGCTGGGGTGAGGAAAGGAGGAGTGAGCCCCAAACCATCTTGTTTTGCACCCAAAAAAAAGGCTCAGGCTCCCTCCTCACACCCCTGTGAGTGTTTGACCTTCTCCACATCCAACACATCCCTCAGTCCCCCCCCGTGGGGACCTGCCAGGATCCCTGAGGGGGGGGACAAGGGTCCCTTCTGTGCAGCAGACCCTGTGC